GTGGCAACAGTAGTGAGGTTGGCCCAGGACCGGGCAGTGTTTTGTTTTGCTGTGCATAAGGTTGCTATGAGTCGGTACAGACTCGATGGAACCTAACAATAACAACAACATATGAGACTAAATAGTCAGCAATTATTTTAAAATAAAATGAGAATGTAAGGGATCAGGGAAATGAAATTAATGAAAATGAAACAACCAGAATGGAAATACTTAGGATGTTCTCACATTGTGAAGTCTATAACCAGTCAGCATCAGTGACTGACTGGACCCCTGTTTGTTTTTCTCTACTTTATTGCCCGAAGTCTCACTGTGAGTGTAAGGAACATTACCATGATTTTGTACCTGGAGTCGGATGCAGTGTGACTGATATCTGCCAATCAAATAACCCCTGCCACAGGAATGCCAACTGTACCACCATCCTACCAGGCCAAACTGAGTAAGTCTTATCAATCCCACATTATCTTTTCCAAACAGTTAAATTGGTGGTGAGTCAATTCTATAATTTCCTTGAAGGGCAAGAAACATGTCTTGTTCAGCCTGGTATCTATCTTCCACCCCATATAACATAGTGGATATTCAATAAATCTTTGTTTAACCAGGGAATCACTCAACAATTATTTCCTTTATGATGGTCATTAGAACATTCTGGAATATTGCCTTGGCCTGAAAACTTGATCTTAAATAGTCAGAGCATGGGAGAAGGAAATCACTGCCTCTGAGAAAACAAATGCCTGTTGAGATGACAAGGGTTTGCCCTTTAACATATGTTCCTGTTTCCTCGTTTGTGAAATATTACCTGTCAGTGGTGCAAAACAAGGCTGGAGATGGGGTATAAGGGGTATTTCCTGGATCTGGGTCTGAAAATGTCTGAGAATTAAAAATATTTACATGAAAACTCCTAAGGCAGAGGCAGCTCAGGCAGTGGAAAGGGTTGTTTAAAGCCCTGCATTTGAAAAAGCAAAACAAAAGATAGACCTACTAGGCTGATTGAGATTGGATGGCTGCCCAAGATGTTGCTGTTGTTATGTGCCATCGAGCTGGTACTGACTCTCAGTGCAGCAGAATGAAACACTGCCCAGTCCTGAGCTAACCTCACAATTGTTGCCACGCTTGAGCCTATTGATGCTGCCACTTTGCCAGTCCATCTCGCTGAGGGTCTTCCTCTTTTTCCCCAAGATGGTTGCCCTGAAATACTCTTAAAAACCTTGATCTGAAACAAGTCCCTATTCACCTTGTAGCTAAATAGCAAACTGGCTAAAAGAGTAATGAATATCACCTGCAAGTTCTGTGCTCCTCTTAAAAATCACCTAAATCACCATTATGAGACCAAACAGTCAAAAATTGCTTTAAAATAAAATGAGGATATAAGGGGACAGGGAAACTAGATTACTGGAAATGAAATAACCAGAAGGGAAATAATGAGGATGTTCATGCACTGTGAAGGATATAACCA